ACTATCAAACTCTCACCAAATCCCAAATCATGCATCATGCTCAAATCATAATCAAAGAGTAATAATCATTTCACAATTAACCTCATTCAGTGGCATATCTTTCACAATTCCAAAAATACATTCATCATAAATCAAAACCCCACAAGACGGTTTTCCCTTTTTATATACAACATATAGTTTGAACACAATTACTATTTGGAGCGCAAAACACAAATCTACTCATAATACCACAGAAGCAAGTACTAAGGATTGGAAAGTGGTTACCTCTCGCCTGAGCAAGGAATAACAAACCGACAATGTGGCCCCGTGCACCACCACGACTCACAACCGGTCTACACAAGCACACAAACACACAACCATCATATATTAGCTTTCAAACTAATAATGTGGCCAAAACAACACTTGGGGACACAAAATTCCTATCTCCCATCAAAACTCTATCCAACTCAAAGGGTATAACTATCAAAACAACACTCCAAAGTCCTCAAAGTCTATTAAAACATCAAGTCTCCTTCCAAGCATCAATTAGAATTCAAACCTCAAGGACCCACTATAGGAATTCAACCTCCAACATCTCATTTGAGCAATTAAGGTTCCAACAACAAATCTAAACCAATTAAACATCCAATTTAACCCTCCTTAACATAACCCAATTCACAAAACTCAAAATCAATCTCTACATTATCATCCTCAATCCCAAATCATCCATTTCCATAAACCCTAGCTCCAAAAACTCAAGATTCTTTAAATCCAAGAAAACTACACCGATTAAATACTTAAACTAACCCAATGCAATCAATTAAACTCAAAACAATCGGTCAAAAACCTCAGTTTCATCACAACTTAGAAAATCCTAGGGTTCCACCAAAAATCCTCTGAAATTCCAATCAAGAAGATAGATTAGAGGCTAAAATCACTTACTTGAGGTAATGGATCCTTAGAAATGTCTCCTCCAAGCCAAAAGTTCGAAACCCTAGCAGAGCTTCTCTCTCCTCCTTCAGATTTTTCTTATTTTCGCACGCTGAACCCTCCCGCGACTATATAGATTCGCGACCTTTCGCCGCGGCGAACTCCATCTTCGCCGCGGTGAACTAATCCCGAGAGGGATTACTCGCCTGAAAACCTGACTTCGCCGCGGCGAACCCCAATTTTCGCCGCAGCGAAAGCTTCCCGAGAGGAAACTCTCGCTCGCCCAGAAAACATTCGTCGCGGCATACCCCTACCTTCGCCGCGGCAAAACCTTCCCGAAAGGGAAGCCTCGCTCACCAAAGTAACTTCGTCGCAGCGTCCCCTAGACTTCGCCGCGGCCAAACCTTCCCGAGAAGACACTCCCCTCTGAAACTCCCGGTGCGCCGCGGCGAAGTAAACTTCACCGCGGGGAACATACCCTGAGAGGGGTACGTTCACCCATTCCTCCAACAAACCTCAAATTCAACCCAAACACCCTGATCAAGATTAAATCACTAATCTATCCTCAAAATCAACCCAAAAGAGGCTATTAAAACCCGATAAAAACTTAGGATGTTACAATTTTTCTGCCACTTAGGAGGCCACTTGGCTGCCATTAAATGCTCTATAATTTTAGATCATGCCATGTGTAAAATTTCAAGAATATTCCTTTGATTTTTATATGAAAATTGAGCTTAAATACATTTTAATTATTGGGCCAGGTTTGCATGAATTTTTGGGCATTTCTTGGCCCAATGTGAGGCCCACTTTTGAATGACCCAAAAATGTGGCCCACCATTTAGAGGTTTATCGGTTACTATTCACTTGTAACTTTTTAAAAAAATTTTAGGCTTCCAAAATCACACTTATTTCCATGAAAAATCCTATTTTAATATAAGAATGAAATCTGAAAATTTATAGAATTTTTTTCCACCTCTAACTATTTATTTTGAATTTTTTTGGATGGGGCTTTATTGGAAAGACTTTTGAAAATAAATTCCTTAAAATTAATTCTTGTACTTTCAGGGCCTGGAATCAATTTTATAAATTCCAAAAAATATTTAGATAATTATTTCATATTTTTTAAGGAATTATTGAGGTTTCTAAATAATTATAATAATAATAATTATTTTTACTTAATTTTCACTATTTTTCCTGAAAAACCTCTGTTTTCAGGAAATTCGATAATAAGCTATTTTCATATTATTTCCAAGTTCGGGACCTTAATTAAGATTCCCAAAACTCTAATTTATCTTTTTACCATTTTCTAGAATTTTTTTTCCAAATTTTTCTATTTTATAGTTCCTAGACTAATAATTTCAAAAATATCGATATGGATCCTATTAGGGTTTAACATCAAAAGTTGTTTCGTTCTTCTATCTACTTTCTATATTGGCCCACAATAAGATTTTTAACTCACACTACTAGGATGAATTTTTCAGGATGTGACAGATTGTAAAGGGTTCACACCAAGGGATAATTTCAATTCCAATGCACATGATTAAAGAAGATAGTTTGGAAAGATCAATGTACATTTGTAACAAATAACCAACTTACTCCTCTTATCCTATTTATAGGACATTTTCAGCATGTTTTACATAATTTAGGGAAAAAAATTAAACTACATCAACTCTCCCTTAAAATAAAACAACTTTTAAACTTTACTATTTAATATATACACATTTAAAAAAATTATATATATTATAACAAATGAAAGACAAAATACTGCACTTAGGCTGTTCACCAAAAAAAAACTACACTTATGCTAAAAATTTAATGAAATAACTTATAACTAAAACTAAGAAAAACTTCCTCTCTCTAACTTATAAATAGGATAAGAGGAGTAACTAATTTTTTTAATAGCCTCAAATTAGTTATCTAGTTCTTATACTAAAAACTAAATATATTATTTCTCTTATTTTTATTTATAAGGCTGAGAGATTTTTTTTTTGGTCATATTTATAAGTGACTATTAAATTTTTGTCCTTTCATTTATTATGTACATTGTTCATTTTTTTCAGAAAGATTATAAAGTTAAAAAGTTGTTTAAATAGGAATTAATAAAGTTTAAGATTTTTTTTTTGGATCCATAAATATATTGAAAACCACTTATAAATAGGTCTATACATTAGTTTATATTCTTTACAAAAATTAATGAAATATTCATTATTTATTTTTCAAAATGCTTGTAAATGGCTTTATATCGATTAGAGATAATGCTAACAAATAAAAAAAATTAACATTTAAATAATTTTTACTATTTTTTAGTTCTAGAAACAGTCTTAGGCCGAAAAATTTTTTTAGAAACAGATTATTTCAAATCTCTTAAATAAAGTTTTTCACGGTGAAGACCGTATGTGGAAGAGTTCAAATAAAATGAGAATAGATAATCGGCACCGCCTGTCCAAGCATGGCCGATAAGTCCAACTGGTTGGGTGGCGAACTGAAAAATAATATTATTAATTAATTTTTTTTTTGCCAACATATTACTACAACTCCATTCACTTTAAAATATGAGTATTAAATAATCAAATTATACAACTCAAAAAATTGATTAAAATTAGTTAAAAATGATAAATATGTGAAAAAAAATTTTAACTTATTTTTTTAAAATATCCTTGTCCATGGAGTGGGTAAGTAGGAGAGAGAATAAGTTAAAAAAAAAAAAAGCGAGAGAATAGTAGAAAAAGAGATAAGAGAGATATATAATTAATTAGAGATAAAAATTAAAAAAAAATACATCAAATGATTAGATAAATTCAAATTACTCATATAACTTATAGAAAAACTCAAAAGCTTGATACTTATATTTTAATCGAGAGGGAGTAAACCAAATTGGTCTTGGAAACGTAAGATGCATGCACTTTCCCAGAGTCATATTTCTATTATAAATGTGAGTATCTTGATCAGTAAGACCATACGAGTCAACAGTTTCAACGGGAAAAAAAAAATCCTTGATCCACACGTCGCTGCTATTGCTTAATATAAAAACTAAATAATTAATTTATAAGTATCAAAAACTAATTAAGCTAGTTATTTAATTTGTAATAAATATATACTAACTTTTTTTAAATTATTTTGTTTAATCATGTGTATTGAAATTTCTCATTGATAGAAATTCTCTTTCTTAATATCGTAATATGCACCATTAGACATTAGTATGAATCTTTTGGAAAAAAATAATATAAATTTAACAGACAAAGTGAGGTCCCACATTTAAAATAAAAGGATCAATAATATAAATCAAACCCTAACTAGCTCTTTTTTTTTTTTAAAAAAAAAGGATCAATTATGCATTAAAACCAAAGTATGCAGAGTCAGAAATAAACATGCACAAACATGAAACCCAGCGAGAAAGGACCATAATTCTAAACAGTAGACGCCCGTGAAAGGCAACAACAGTGATAACCCGACAACCATGACTGAATCAAAAGTATAACGATGACCCACCAGATAGAGGCTAAAGAATCATAGAGCCTCACAATCTAGCTTTTATATTATGGAGGGGAGGTAATATTATTTCACAATAAAAAACAAAAAATGAGGCCCAACATCAAGATTGCGATTTTTGTTAAAAATTTTAAAATTTATCATTCACATAGTACAAACTTACCAGTCAAACTATCATTTACCAGTCAAGCTATGAGTACAAATTTACCAATCAATGATATATGCTCTTTTCTGGTCTTTTTTACAAGAAAATTTTTTTAAGAGTTCTTCTAGTCTTATTTATAAGAAACAACAACCTTTCATCTTGAGTATTTATATATTTTTATACTATTAATGAAATCAACTATTTTTTTAATTCTAAATATAAAACTCATTTTGTAGTATGAAAAATCATCAACCAATTATTAAATAAGGATATTTCTAAAATAAAATCAAGGTTTTAATATATTTATTAGGTTAATTAGCTTCATCTATATTTTTTAATCTTAATAATTAGTTTATAAAAAAGTGGCAGAGCAAGCATTTATTAAATGTGACAAAGTACACTTTTTTTAAAAAAGTTATATTTTTCTGACTTTTTAATGGTTTCAATACTGAATCAGGACTTTCCGTTTTCCTCACTAGCACGGCATCCCACCCGCCAAGCCGCTCCTGCCTATATAAAATAAACCAGGACAGAGCATCTAGCCATCTGCCATTTATCTCCAGAATTATGAGCAGCCACCACAGCCACGTTCTGGTTTTACCATTTCCTGCTCAAGGACATGTGAATTGCCTCATGATCCTCTCTAATAAACTAGCCCAACATGGCCTCAGAATCACCTTCGTGAACTCAGATTTCAACCACAGGCGAGTGGTGAAGGCAATGAACGAGGAGGAGGAAGCAGAGAAGAAGAAGAAGAAATTGCCTGTGGAATTAGTGTCGATCTCAGATGGTATGGGTCCTGAAGATGACAGAAACGACATGGCTAAACTAAGTCTGGCAATTTTGAGAACAATGCCCTTAGAGCTTGAGAAGCTCATTGAAGGCATTAATGGCAGAGGAGATAGAATTAAGTGTGTCTTGGCAGATGTAAATATGGCATGGGCCTTGGAAGTTTCTCATAAGCTGGGTATCAAAGCTGCTGTCATTTGCCCCACATCTGCTGCTGTTTTCGCCTTGGAACTTCACATGCCCAAGCTGATTCAGGATGGAGTGATGGATTCTAATGGTAACATAATTCTTGCCCTTTCTTTTTCCTTTTCCTCTTTTGGCTTTCAGTACACTAAGAACTTATTTGAAATGATTTATAAGCAAATTTTCAATTGTAATTTATGGAGTATGAGGTCAGTACGTGAAGAGAGTTTTATTTCAATTTACAAAAAAAATACTTATAAGCACTTCAACATAAGCAGATACAAATAAACCTAGTCATGAGTATGCAGGTATGGATTCCTTTACTCACTAATCTCTTAGTTTCTAAGTATAAAAGTTAGACAAGGATTTTGTTTTGGCATCAAATTCAATTTGTATTTTTTTCCCCAAGTATTATTATCATACAAAAAGGATTTTGGTCAAAAGTAGTTGCAATACGTATAATTGAGAGAGTATTCTGAAAAAACTAATACATATTTATTATAAATAACTAATTGAACTAATTTTTTAAAAATATTTACAAATTAATCATCTTGTTTTTATATTAAAACTAGAGGCAGCATGTTAGGATGACTTCGGAATTTGGGTATGTTTGTTTGCGTGTAGGAAAAGCACAATCTTAGCTAGTTTCATGTGAATTCTTCAATTTATAAAATCAAATTTATAGGAAAATGAAAAATTGTAGAACAATGGTACAAATATGCATACATAATCATGGGCTGAGAGATCAACATGGGTCTAGTAGTGGAAAAGACTAATTCCTCACAACATAATGAGTTAAGATTCGACTACTTGCTAAGAGAATTACCAATATTTAATACCTAATAATATCTTAAATAAGATTACCTCCAATAGAAAAAGAACACTTGTACATTAAAAAATAAAAAAGTCATGGGCCAAGGCAAGAAAAGAATATGAAGGGTTGGGGGAAAAAAAATTTGTTGGGGTTGACATGTGACAATATGGGGAAAATGGAAATCTTTTGGCATTTTCAAAGTCAATTAAACAAGAATTTATTGTTTTTCAGAAAGCATCCCTTTTTGGTAAAAAGAAACCGTCTTTCTATTTTGTTTCAAAACAATGTAATTTTGACTTTTCTTTAGAATACATGTTGATTTTCACTATCCCATTGTTTCTATTTAATCCATTGTTAACTATTTATTTTACAAAGAGAAAACATATAAAGTGATAATTAAAATATTAATGATAAAATTTAATTTCTTACCGTCTAAAATGGCTATATATTAATTATTATCATATATAAACATATTCTTAAATATCAGAACAATTAAGTATAATAAATCCACAAAACTTATTGATAAATTTTATTCTTGTTTAACTTTATATAATAATTATCTCCATAGGTAGGCTCCATATACCTTTTTTTTTTTTGACCGGAAAGGCTCCATATACCTTTTCATACCTATGCCTTGACATATTGTATAGAAAAATGGGACAAATCATTATGAGTAATGAGAAAAAAATATAATTATCCTAAAGTTTCAACTATAAGCGAACAATATAAAATTTATTGTCATTTCTTATATTAGAATTTGCCATTCACTAGATGCGAGATTTTTTTCTGTAATTACATTTCTTATTTGAAACCATATCGTGATTTCTTTTGTTTTGCACGATTGCCAATTATAAAAAGGGAATTTGAGATATCCCCAGAAATTCCATAAATCTTTTCATACCTATGCTTCGACATATGCTATAAAAAATTGGGAAAAATCACTATGAGTCCTAAGAAAATAATATAATTATCCATAAGTTTCAACTATAAGTGAACAATATGAAACTTATAGTCATTTCTTATATTAAAATTTGTCATTCACTAGTTACGAGATTTTTTTTTTTTCTGTAATTACATTTCTTCTTTAAAACCATATCATGATTTCTCTTGTTTTGCAGGATTGCCAATTGTAAAAGGGGAATTTGAGATATCACCAAAAGTTCCAAAGATGAACACATCTGATATTGCGTGGTGTTGTATTGGAGACTCAGACTCTCAAAAGACAGTATATGATTACATTGCAAAAATGATAAGAACTTTACACTTGACAGATTGGTGGCTTTGCAATACAACTTTTGAACTTGAGCCTGGAGCCTTATCCTTGTACCCTAAGATCCTACCCATTGGACCATTAATGGAGAGCAATGAGAACCTAAGTACTGGGTCACTTGGGCAATTTTGGGAAGAGGATCTTTCTTGCTTGAGATGGCTAGACCAGCAACCGCCATGTTCAGTCATTTACATAGCTTTTGGTAGTTTCACTGTGTTTGATCCAACCCAATTCCAAGAGCTAGCTTTAGGACTTGAGCTTACCCAAAGGCCTTTTCTTTGGGTTGTTCGGGAAGATACACATGGGGGAGGCGCAAAAATGGCATATCCAGACGAGTTTGAAGGCAAAAAGGGAAAAATTGTTAAATGGGTACCTCAAAATAAGGTTTTGAGCCATCGTGCCATAGCTTGTTTTGTTAGCCATTGTGGTTGGAATTCCACTATGGAAGGTTTGAGCAACGGAGTGCCTTTCCTGTGTTGGCCATATTTTGCAGACCAATATTTTGACAAGAATTGTATTTGTAATGAGTGGAAGGTGGGACTGGGGTTCGATTCAGATGAAAAGGGAATAATCTCAAGCCAAGAAATCAAGAAAAAAGTGGACATGTTGCTTGGTGATGAGAGCATGAGGGCAAGGTCCCTGAAGCTAAAGGATATTATGATGAATAATATAAAGGAAGGGGGTACTTCAATGGAGAACTTCAGGAAATTCTTCGAATGGGTTAAACGGTAAGATGCTCAAGTTGGAAAATTCATTATTTGATGAAGAAAAGTGTACGTAAGTTGAGTCTTGGGTTAGGCATAGAAAACATTTATAGATTGCCTACCAACAAATTTCTTATTTTAGCAAGGAAATTTGAACTCACAATCTTATAAGTTATAAGCTGATTTATTACCAAATAAACCAACTCCTGTTGGTTGCATTGGAAAGTTGTATAAATTAGTAATTATGTATTATCGGTTTGCAAAACAAAAATTATGGATTATCATTAATTAATTATGTGAACAAATATTTATTTAAGGCAATTAGTTTTTTTTCTAATAAACAACCTATTAGCCCTTGGTTTATAACTTACTTGCATTATTACATAAAAAGGCTATACTAATCTGTTATTTTTAGTCTCATTCGACAGTTTTTAGTGTTCAAGTATGTTGCGGTTAAATTCTGAGTCCATACTTAACCATTTTTAACTGTCACAAAACATTACAAGGTTGAAGGGAAACTAATTAAATTCTGTGTTATGTTACTTATACAGGTCGCTGTTTCAGAACTCCATTAATTTTTTTATGAGATGGGAAACAAAAATCTTATTTTCTGAGACGCGTCAAGCCTTCATCACTTTCAATTGAAATCATATTCACAGATTATTTAGCTTATCTTTGAACAACGCAATGTCAATAAGGCGATATTTGTTCATGCGCGATGGAAACAAGCACAAGGAAAAAGATCCTCTGTTTTCGGTCCCCAAAACAGAGGCAATGGAAATAATATTGCAGTAGCATATGAATACATAATTGTTCGACTATTGTTCTTCGTATGAACCTCAATATAAGAGAGCTAATATATAAATATTAGAAAAATTAGTTAAAACACCAAAATTATCACACTTCTCAGCACAACTAGCTCTAGTTGATGCACATTACCAAATATTATTTACTAGCGAGGAAGGAAAAATATAAGGTTTAAGTAATAAATATGTAAATAAATAATAAGATGGGGATGGATATTATTTTGGATTAGCTGTGATTGAAAAAAGGTCTCATCAGAAGAAATCCTTGATTTTGGGGTCAAGCACAAGGGAAGCAAGAATGGAATAGGCCTTCTGTGTTGGATGGTAGCTGTCCCAGAAAATGTAGGTTGGGTCATTTGAACATAACTCTATAGTGCAAGGGTTGCACGTAATGCTGACCTCCGTATGTCCACTGCCACAGCGTCCTTTCTATGTTACTTCAAATCCTAACATAAATAAAATAGCCAAACATACAGCAAAGTTGGTTAAAAGATTATCAAATTAGTGGTCGGTGAAGTGTCAATTAAAATCAGCAAACTTGGAATCTATTTGGATTGGCAGTGAAAAAAACAGCTTATTTTTAATCCGACTTTTACAAAAGTAAAATTGGATAAAAAAATTTTTGGATTATGATCGAGTAAAAATAAATTTGATTGTAAAATGACCAAAACGGGTATGAGTTTTAATAAATAATGAAACATGATTAAAAAAAATAATTTTACATAATACAATAAATTTAAAATAATTTAATATAAAGAAGTGAAATTTAATGAGTGAAATAAATTTTAAAACTTTAGAGAAATCATAAAAAATATTTTAAAGATAAAGTGAAAGTAAAAATTTAGTCCTACTAGTGACTAAATAATGATAATAAAAATAAATAAATTAGTAAATAAAATAAATCTGTCATAAAATATAATGAGCCAAATAAGTCATAAATAGTTGGAAAAAAATGTCTTAAATATATACTACAAAATAAAGAAATATATGGTAACGGAAAAATAACTAGAAAAAAATAGTTGGTTCACAAAATTATATATGTATACGCAAAATTGAAACTAGAGCAGGGCATAGTTAGAAAACATAAGTAATTAAGTAAACAAGCAAAATATCTAATAAGGAGTTAGAGTAAAAATTTTATATATGGAACAAATCAAAGAAGACCGACAAATATACTGGCAATAAAAACAGGAAAAAAAATAAATGGTCTCAATATTTGGAATGAATGAATGCTACTATTACATTACAACATCAACTTTGGTTTTTATTTTACACATGATATTGATAAATTTATATTAATATCAATTGATAATTCACATTGATGATGATTGTTAAAATTCTTTTTATCTATTTAAATTATATAAAATCTCTATTTCTCTCATTGAATTTGATAATTCTCTATTTCATTTTATTGCAAATGTTCCCTCACCTATAGTTCTTCCAAAGGATCCCTCACCTATAGTTCTTCCAACCTCATATTTACCACCTAGGCGCTTGATTTTAGGCTAACTCATCTTCAACGATTGTTGAACTTAATAATCACCAAAACTATTACTTTCTTATTAAGAATTTGCCCAAAGTACATACCAGAATTCATTTCCTAGATAAATTTTATCAGCATATTCAAGTGAAAATTTTAAGTTTAAGCGTATCATTGCCATCAACCACTGGTTCAAAACTTCAATCAACATGATTTATTAAAATAGATCTTTTCTGCTAAATACGGATCAGTGCTTTATGAAACGCTGCCACTCCTTATGATTCAAACAATAAATTCAAACTGAAGCCCCAAAATTCGTATAACGAAGAACTCAGCAATTCTTTCTATTAAATTTCAATAAACATTATGAACTATTATAAAAAGAGTACATAGAAGATTGAAGATGAAAAATATTCAACCTCAAATAATCAATCAAAAGAAACAGAGCATTGAAAGATAAGGGAAAAGAAAAAAGACCACACGATGGTGTCTACACAGGCAGTATTTCTAGGAGGAAGGAGAATGATTGTTCTTGAAATAGGTTACATTTCCCTGCTTCCACTGGTAAAGGGAGTGACATTGACGGACAGCAGAGACGACGATAATTTCAGGCAACAATAAGGGGATCAAAACCTTAAAGGCTATCAGCTAAAGCATAGATCAACACACACACAACTCTACATGCTTGGATCAATCACATTTCCCTCTATATTCACTAACTCCAATAGAAAAACTAACATAAAAAAAGGAACTAGCCAACCTGTAACAGATCGGACCACCTAAAGCTTGCGAGAGATAGATTGGATAGTCTATTCCACTGGGAGGTTAAGATCTCCACGCATAGCTCACATGCATAGGTAGACGGTAGTGACCTAGGTTGGAGACGACGACAGAAGCTTGGATAAGGTCGAAGTCTTGATGAAGGAGCAGGCTTGAGGTCACTCAAAGGCACACTAAACACGATGACCTTACGGCAGAGACGTGACAGAGTTCATGGCGATCACCGATAGTGGTTCTGGAGAGTAGGAGACAGAGCACGTTGGGCGGCAGAGAGCAGTCATGGGAGAGCTTTGAGATGAAAAAAAAAAGAACAAATGAATTATGAGGGAATATGGTAGAAGTGAGAGAAAAATAAGTGGCTCTGACACATCATAACAATAAATAAGCAGATAAGCTCTTCAAAATAAGCTAAATTTTTGGGCTTCTATTGGAACGCATGTTCAGGGAGCTTATTGCAAACAAGCTATATTGGGCTTAAGCCCTTCCAAACAGGAGCAATATTTTCAATAGGGTTTCTACCCAAAATAAGCTGTTTTCCACTCATTTTAAGCCTAACCAAACAGGCACTTGATCTCTCATTATTTCCCCCTCCTCAGACTTGGAGCCACCACATCTCGTGCAGTGTACTTCCTTTTGTCCTTCTCCAGTTCTTTTAACACTGGAAAAATTTTTGAATTAGTTTGATCTTTTTTATAAGATTTAATTTGAGACTATCTAATTATTAAATGCTTTTTTATTAATTTATCTATAATTAATTATATTATTTTTTATATATATTCTCTTTCATATATTTTCTTCTCTCTACCTATACCTTTTATAAATAAGGGCATATTTAAAAAGAATAAGTACATTTTTTAAATATTTATTACTTTTAATTAATGTTAACAAATTTCTTAAACGATGTAATTTGGTCAATTGGATCTTATGAAAACGATTTGAGGTGCTATGGTATTAATTAAGTTTTTTTTAATATCATTCGTATTTATAGTTATTAACTATGAAAGAGAACGCAATACAAAATCTGAATTTTTTTTCTATTTAAACATGGGTAAAATAAAATATTTGATTCGATCTTGAGATAAAGTCAATGACTTAATCATTTCTTCTTAATTCTGTTGAAATAATTAGAGGTGCTTTGTGACAAAGACTTGAGGAAATATCTTGTTTATATGTTTTTGGTAAATGCATTAATAATACTTCTTTTAATCCTATATATTAGCTTCAAATTTAAAAAAGATTGTGGTTTCCTTTTATGGGAAAGAAATATCTCCACTTAACTTCCTCTCTATTTATTATCCTTACCATTAAATCAACATCCAGTTGTTGAGATTTAATGAACTATAATATTATTATTATTAATTAAACAACAAATATATGTATTTAAGCAATTGGAAATTAATATCCATACATAACTCGTAAATTTATATTAAAATATTTTATAATTCTTTTATTTTTATCATGGTTATGATAATACATATTTATATGTAGATTAAATTTATTTATATGCATTTTTTTATGATTTAATATTATAATAATACTGCTATAATGTATTAAATTTCATCCAATTAGATGTTGATTTAATGGTAGAGATACTAAAAGGGGGGAAGTGGAGAGGAGGCTAAACAGAGACACTTTTCTTTCCCATTATTTTATAAGTTTTAATTTGGGTTTGTCTTAAAATTTAATGTATTCTTTTCAATCTTGGTCTTAACTATTTATTCTCTCTTATTTGTCAAAGTCTGTTTTATCATATTTTTCCACACATTTTCTTTCATCCTTTTTCTCGTCTATTATAAGGACATATTTAGAAACAAAAATATATTTATAACCTATTTATTGCATTTAATTAATTATTTATTATTTATAAATTAGTTATTTGAAACTTATAACAAGTACCGGAGTGAGTAAGTTGGATCATAATAGGAAGTGGAATGTGAATAACAAATACCATATTGAGCAGGATGTTGAAGCATATGAAGAAGTGGGGTATAGCAATCCAAGTAGACAAGCATGGCCTCTGGCGAGTTTTTGTTAAGCAAATCAATTTGAGTGGAGAGTTGAGAGTTGAATTGGATACCTACTTGGTTTCCAAAGTCTGAGTAATCTCTCTGTAAGCCTCCTCCTCTGTTTCTTTGCTGTGAGGGCACATACCCTAAAACGGGTAAGTTGAACACCCCAA